GGAAAAAATGAACTTAAATGATTTTAGCATATGGCTGCATTATAACAAAGAGTGAAAAATTTAAGGGGGTCTGAATACTTTCTGTACCCACTGTATGTGTATGTGTAAACTATATTTATAGTTGGTGTCGTCTGCGTTTCTTTCTTAAAGGGAGCTGGTTTTTTACCAGCTGTCACTTGGTAGTTTACCATGTGGGTCTCTTTCAGTAATGTGTACATGGTATCTGTAGTATATTCACACAATCCAATCAGTCAGCATTGAGTGCCAACAGTCAGTGTTTAAAACAGGTTATTTTGATTTGCATCATTTCTGTAAAATGTGAGGAAACACTGAATGAAAGGTTCAGATACAATTAAATATTATTTCACATAATTTAAAGAAATTGTTCTGATGCTTGTTCGATGCCAGATCTTCTTTAACAGACTTTTCTTAAACTTTGAGAAACATAAAAACATGTTTATGTTGTTAAAACACAAGCAGCCACATAAAAACTAGTGAAAATAAATATGATAAATGTTCAGGAACTCTTTGATCAAATATGTAAATGCATGATGAGACATTCACTTTTCAGTTCTCTGAGCTCCAGACGGTTTGTACAAAACAAGGACTGAGGTTCAGTAACCAGTATTTTTTGACAACAGGTGTGAGTTTGTGTGAAGGCCGAGTAAATGTTGCCAGGTAAAGCTTTATATTTCTTCAGTATGAAAGCACTAAATCAAAGTCATTGGGAAACAATCTGAGGATCTCATGACTGCTGTCTTTACATACATGCAGCCATTTCTCATGTTGGGCAAAGATAACAGCACTTTATGGGGTCAAAGATCTCAAAGGGTGTGTGTGTGTGTGTGTGCTTGAAGGTGTGTGTGCTCAACATATCGGCCAAGACAAGCCCTCCTCCGCCTGATTTACCTGTGCTCAGGTTACTTTGATAAATGAAAGCAAACAGCGAGGACTTCATTTGTAAAGCCTGGATGGCATCACTCTCTCTCGTGTACACACACACACACACACACACACACACATAAGTGACTACCTGTGGTGATTGTCCCAGGTGCCAGGCCTGTTTGAATAAGACTTAAATGAGAGCATAAGGAGACGTGATCTGAATCACTGGCTGAGCAGGTCACCTTGGAATACACACGCCACCGTGGACTTTTATACATGTAAGGGCCTTCAGTGAATCACCTAGTCCTTCCCCTTAACCAGCTAATTTAATCCTTAACCATCAAAAAGCCATTTGAAGAAGAATACCAGGGGGAAAGTCTCCAAAGTGTCGTCACAAAGTGTAAAACTTGAACTTGTCCTCACAGCGGTGGAGGAGTTCACTGAATGGTGCTGAGAAGAAACACTTCATCAACTTGCTTTCATTTTTCCAAAATGAAGTAGATACTGTATTTGTATAAAGAGCGGGAAAAAGAAAACATGAAGCTATCGTGACATTTCATTACTACCATCTATTTTCTATCACCTGTCTTCTTTCCTTTACCCC